AGAATGGATTCATCTTTTATGTCTTTCATATAAATTCTGTATAGTTAACTATCAGTGCTTCTAACAATTTCATTAATCTGTTTTTAATTAATCATATATGCACTCAACAGAAATTTATGAATCTATTTAACGATTGCTTATGTTTCTGTATTTCATTGAAAAACGATAGTACATAATGCAATCTGTATTAAATATTTGATCAATAAGAATAAATCGATATGATGCATGATTTTGCTTGCTTTTATTAATGTTGTTTTGAAAATAAAACTGAAGTTATATGATGATTAATTTTAGCTACCAGGTTGTCAATATTTGAACTATCCTTATTTTGTATATAATCAATAAGATCAGAACTTAGGATAAGTGTAGAGTGTGAGGTATGAATGATTATGCATGTCCATAATCTCCTGTTTCAGATACTTCCACTCAATTATGCCACCATCTAATCCATTCAATCATCTTGAAGCTGAAGGAATTTATCTAACTAAGGTAAAATAACTAATATTCTTTCAGTTCATTATGAAATTTAGTTTTTGTTTCTCTCATAAAACAAGAATCTTTTAATATTATGATAGAATATGTAATATTTATAGGTTTATAAAAGTTTTGTTCATACCATCTCTTCTAAGAATTTCTCAACTTTCATTTAATCATAAATATGGAAATGCTTATCTCAATTAGGAAAATATTCATTATAATTACAAATGATTTTAAGGAATCTTTTGAATACAATTCATCTTTGTAAATTGATTGTTGGGATGTACATTCTTTTATTGAAAGTCTTTTTTTTTATGTGTACGATTCATTCCTAAACAAGAACGAGAGTTTTGATTCATTAAATGTTACACGTAATGAGCGACGATACTTCTGCTCCCATCTCTTGACATTGCAACGTTCAAAAGATAAGTACATAGTTTCACTCCATTAAGTAGCACCAAATACTTACCTCAATTTAACCTACTTTCGCACCGATGTTTATATAAAATACCAGCTTGATTTTTTTTCATTCATTTTATTCAGTAATACAACTAACGTTAACTATCAAACAAAATCAGCTGAAAAAGTTAACAAAAATATCATAATTCCAAAAGACGAATAACAATAATTGGTCGGTAGACATCTTAGTTCATACTTTAAAGAATTTTCTCCTCCCTCAAGATGACACCGTACCCGCAATGTGCATACCGTCACGTATGAAATTCAGTGAACGTGTAGCGGCACGTCTCGGTACGCGTTCATTGGCCGTTCTTAATGACATGGGACTATTTCCCCTGATTACGGAAAATTCTCTTGGACGGAACGTACATAAATGTTTGCTTTCCTTATTTCGATTCGACAAAAACAGACAACAAAAAATTAATTATGATTTAACTTTTGTTTTAGATGAATTTTTGATCATAATTGCGAATTTCTTCGTCTGATGGCTAACGTTATCGAAAAACAAAAATTTTCATCGGAACATCATCTAAGTGATGAACTACGCAAGATCATGAGTGAAACAACGAAAGAGCTGTTAAATCGTTTATATGAACACTCTCGTGGTTTAAATAATGTAAACATCCATGATGAACTGGATTATTTTGTGAAACAATTAGACTCTGATATTAGTCTTCGATACTCAAATCAAACATCAGATAAATTAAATGATAAAATAGAAGATTGTCGAAAACGTGTAAACGCGACAATCCAACAGTACAAACATGATTTCAAAGGAGATTTATCTCATCATCAATTGGAATTATTCTTTGATAATTTGATGGTAGCCATTGGTGACATATTCACTCACATGATATCTATTTTTATTAGCATCAATGTAAATGTACTTTTTTTATAAAGAAGTTTTATTTATTTTTTATATCACTAGGAAGAAATTCATGTTCTCAGAAAACAGGTTTCTGAACTAATAAAAGAAACTGGTTCTTTTAAAGACGAAATAAGCAATTTAAAAAAGCGTCAAATAAGTAATGATCGACAAATTTTTATTCACGAGCTTTTCAGCCATGCAACAACAATTTTGATTGCATTATTACGTAAGGCAAAATTACCGATCGGTTATATTAACGACATTTATGATACAAAGATTGACATTCAACATTGGAATCAAACAAATTCTTTTTTAACACATGCAATAAAAATAGTAGCTAACAAATTCGGTTTAACTGTAGCTGAATTGCTTGGATACTTGCGTAGAAAACGAAATTCTAATTCAACATTTCATTGTAATTATGAAATACAAGAGTATGCTAGAAAGCACGTTACTGACCGAGATTATGATCTACGAAAATTCCTGGAACAAGAGAAACTTTTCATAGATTTAAATGTACTGGAGTTGAAAACGCTACAAACCGTTTTTGAAAAAGTATGCCAAATATACAATGATGATAGGTAGGTGGATTATTCACATTTTCTTTAACAGTACACAGTGCGATGACTGTTTTTTCATTTAAATGTTTATGTAATTTAGTTGCTTTTGTATTTTTAGTGCTGAAGACAACACACCACATTTACAAATCAATGATCACGTCAAGGTGATATATGACGATGGAATGGTAATACTAGAATCTCTTGCGTATTACTGTAGTCGTTAATTATTTTATTTAGCTATACAACGCGACATTAATTCGCTTTGATAAAAAAACAAACAAGTACAAAATCCATTATGAAAATCGACAATATGGATATGATTGGATTATAGCTGAACGCATACTAAAAATATAATGCTCATGATCTTATGCTAAACACTATTTAAGATGAAGCCATATTTTTTGAAAATAAAGATTAGAAGAACAAAAGATAATTGTCATTGTGCGATCTAGTGATAATATATATTCTGGTTGTGACTAGGGGTGGCACTTTAACTTTAAATGAGATCAAAATTTAAGTTGATCTATTGACAGAGTACTCGATGATCATTCTTGATTTTTATCATACTAGCATCTTTGCATCTCAAAGAAATTAATTTAAAAAAAATACAACGAAAACGAATTGAATAAAGATGTAACTATACCTTTTAAAATGTAGCATGTAAATATAATCTAATTCATTTGTAGTTATGCAATGCGATACTTGAGCTTTGTTTTTCACAAATTATCGAAAAACAAACTTTGTGATTTTGATTTCTCTATTAGAAAAACCAATTTATGAGAGAACGATCGAGCAGCTCTCCCTCATCCGAGCTTGACGATAAGTGCACGTTTCAAGTAATATCTAAACTAACAATACTAGATAGTTTTAGTTTTCTTTAGTTATTTTTATATATCTATTTATTTTCGAATTGAAATAAATCAGTTCAGGCTGCTTTTATATTCGAATTGTAACTAGACATCTCATGAACTAATTCACTAAAATTAAGATACTTTAAGAATTTGATTTAAGCAATGATATCTTTCTTTATTTTTAGTTCCTTTATCTTGAGTCATATTTTATAATTTCATCACCATAAGAATATACAAATAAAAATTCCAAAAATTATAATTTTTAAAAAGATTTTTCTTTCTGAACTTCATATAGAATCAAACAAATGTTGTATCCGACTCTTTTGTATAGTAGAATGCCATAAAATATCAATTTTGTTTTGAAATAAAAATATTTTCATTAGAATTATAAGTATTCATAAGCTAATCAGTGAAAAAAAAAGAAGAAGAAAAGAAATTATTTATGAATAAAATAATCGTTTCATATGACTAAATACGTTTGATTATATAGCTGTTTTTCACTCAAGCTATATTTAATTATATTAGATGATACTATTCAGAAATTATCTATCGATCGATTAAGACCATTGGCAACATATATAATTAACCTACAATTGTATGCTGAGAATGGTTTAGAAGAAAAAATAATTTTCCACTCATTTTTACAATTTTCATTTACTTATTAACAACGATCAAGGGTATTGATCCAAGAAAGTCCGAGTTATGGTATCAATTAAACTTATCATGATTTTTGTCGCATATACTACATAATATAATGACACAATGCTTCCAATGAGTCTGTTCTTTACAAGCTCGAAAACGTATGTAGAAAATATATTGTTTGTATGAAAGATCGATATAAATCTTTTCTTGTTTTGCTGATTTAGATATAATTGTCTTCCGGATCTCGGCCATTGTAATCTATATTCATTATTAATCTTATAGTCCTTTTTAACAAAATTCTTCAATTGATGAACATGATGATGCTCCTGCAACGGAACTAAAATCAACATTACGAATAGCTTATAATGCGCATACACTAATTTCTAATTTGATTGATAGTTATGTTTCGTATTAAGAAAATATTTTTCTAAACGCTACTGAAATTCAATATGAGAATGAAAGATCTATTAAAGAGTTTGAATTTATAACACACTTTGATTTGTGTTGGAATAAATTTTATTTTCTATGAATCAAAATTATTTACTTTGAAAAAGGTTTCGTTTTGTATTCTTATTTATTGTTTGATTGATCATTTGAAACAATTTGTTTCGCTTCAGATCAGATTTAGTATTGGGACTTTCTCTTAAACATCAAAATAATTCAAATCTGACGTTAGGACTCCATTCATCATGTTTAAACATTTTGTTATTATTAATTTTCTCTATATGAGAATTGAAGCGAATATTTTTTTAATAAGAATTCGTACCATTATTGAAATTATATATATGTATCCATTGAATCTATGCTGAACTTTGTTTTGATATTTTAGTATGTGAAATAATGGATACTAATTAAATCACATGATATCAATTGTTGTCAAAAAAATTTTAATTTTCTTCGCAGTTCTTTTCTATAAGCTTATTCTACTATAATCGAAATAAAAGAGAACAGATTTTTAAAGATTTGCATTTATTAGCAAATATTTGAATATGCTCAACAAATATCTTGAGTAACATGTTTTTTTCAATTGAAGACATAGCAAAATATACGTATTTACAGGAAAATTCGAAACGATCGTAAAAACAATAAATGAAACCAAAACGTGATGAACAAAAAAAATTTTTTTTCTATGAAAATTTTTCTTCACTTTTGACTCGTCATCTTTTGATTTTTGATAATATCAAGAATTTCACTTTGATCAAATTGACGAGCATAAAATCTAATATCATGCATAGTTCCTTTCCACTGAGCTCGTATTAACGAGTCAAAGCAAGGCCAGTTATTTGGATGTGATTGATCGATTATCGGTGTACCTAATGTCATATCAAGTCTATATGTAGTACTGATAGTACTGGTGGTATTGTCGAATCCACTCAGCTGACCATTAACATAAATAAAGATTCCATTTGTCGGTGAATCAATCACTGTTATGTGAAACCATTTGTTCATTTCGAAGTGAGTCGTGTCATTACTAGTAGAAATTGTAAGACCAAGCTGAGAACGTAAAAGTTTATAATGGAAAACATTATATTGCCAATAAAAATAAGAAAAACAACTGTATTCAAGTGCACCAAGTGAAGTTTTAGCTTTTAATTCAAAAAGCAGTATTGATTGGGTATCCATTAACAAGTCAATATCAGAAATTTGAATCCAAAATGCAATTGAATATGTATAGCCATTTAATTGAATAATAGTAAATTCTGAAGTTTTGAAAAATGAAGTTGTTGTATTAAAATAAAGTCCATCTTGAGAATAATATACATTTTGACTATGCGCTTGTATTGCATTCGGACCAGAATCATCATGTATATTACTGGAATTTTTGAATTGATAGTGAAAAAGTAATGATGCTTCACGTAATAATTCACTTGCATTTTTCAGATGATATGATATTGAGACTTGATCAAGCATTGTTTGAGCATAAAGAAAGTAAGTAGTATTTGAAGAAATGGGGCTGCCGATACGTGTTGTTCCATTTCCTATAAACTTATTTAAATCTTCGGTTCCAGTCAAATTTTTTGAACTATCAAAATATCCATTGATATAAATGGATATAATGCCTGTTGTAGAATCAAATTGAAACGACAGATAATTCCATTGACGGTCAATGATATTTTTGGAAAAAAGACGATTGCTTGGATCTGAAACATACTATTTAAAAGAAATATCTGTCTATCAATAACGCTTTAGATTTGACTTA